TATAATTACAAAGTATTTAATAACAAGTATTCATGAATTTTAATTACTTTTTAGTTATAATTAATTTTAATCACTTTTCTAGTTTTATAACAATTCCATCTTTAAAACCCATTTTATCTCTAATATATTTTTAAGCTAAAATTAAATAGAGAAATTCCTATCTGCAAAATAAACTTTAACTAAGATGTATATAAAATTGACTTACAAAATTACTATTATCATTTTTGAGAAAATTAATTAATAACTATGAAACTATTTTTGTAATCAAAAGAAGTAGCAGTTTGTAAAGTTCAGCTGAAACGTGAAATAAATGTTGAATCGTGAAATGTGCTTAAATGTCTTTACGCTTTTATGCATCTTTTATAATTTGGCTAGTTTTTTATTTCAGCAAGCGTTTTAAAAAGTGCTTGTTGAAAAGAACAAGTTTTCATTCGTCATGATAGCATATTTTAGTACTTAAAATATCACTTGAATTTAAGACTTTATTTTATACATTTGCCAATGTTTTTCAAATTTTCTTACACTACTTCTATTGACACTCAAAACTTTCTACTATATTTTTTATTTCGACGAAAATTCAGATTTACTCCAAAATCTAATTTAACGTTTTTTTCCAATAATTGTAACTTGTTCACAGCGATTGTATCAGAAAATCGTTTGCATCACTTAATATACACGCTTAATTTTTCAGGCTTCTTACTGTATTACTGCAGTCAGTTTCTTCTTGCAATGAAGTAGAATTCCGTTAAAAAATTGCATTTATTGTTTACTTTTTGTTCATAAGTTAATAAATATGCTTTGGTGCAATTTGACTTATATTTTGCCACTATTCATTCTTATTGTCTTCTATGGTACTATTTCATGTAAGTTATAGAATTAAATTTACTTTACTTTATTTTTATGTTGCCTTTTTCCTTCGCATGAAAGATGCTAAGAAATTCCAAAACTGATATGACTAGAAGTGACATATGAACCTTCACCCATAAAAATATTGTTACAATGACTTATTTACTCACAGTGATAGAGTAAAGAACTGGAAAACGTGATTAAACTGTAATTTTTGTAGCTGAAACAAACTGTACACTAGTATATTATGCTACCGAAGTTGAATACAGTGAGGCTGCTCAATACCAATACTATTTTACAAGGTAAATTTAGAAAAATTTGACTACCATATAATTAAAAAATCAAAAAAAATTTTGTTTTAATTTTTATTATTATTATTACTATTATTATGATAATAATATTAATAATGATAATAGTAATGATAATAATAGTAACAATAATAATAAAGGAAGAAAATTCTGTGAATGAAAGCGCCCTTAGTATGGATTCTGATCACACATTTCTAACTCTAAATCTGTTGAATAAATGGACTGGTTTGAATTTTTTCATGAATAATTCCAAAAAATCGCTTGAAAACAAAAATTTTTTTATGATTTTAAACTTATATGCAGACTGTTATTTATGCCAATTGTTTTCAGTTCGCGCCACATTATGCAATAAAAATTTGTATCCTTTTTCAATAAATTCATCTTGAATATTAATTCTGAATTTCAATAAAAAACGTCGAAGTCAAAAACAATGTTAATCAATACTTTTAAAGTATAAAATGTCAGATGTCAGTTTTGTAAAATGTATAATAACGAAACGAAGTACATGCTTACTTCATACCGTATTTTGCTACCAGTTGTAAAGGTCGCACAATTTATTTTCATCTTTTAATTAATTTATTTCGTGTCAGAGCTGCTGAAAAAAATTATAAATCTGCTTCGAAAATTTAGATGAAAATCGTTTTTGATTTTAGAAATTCTATAAGAGCTAATTTTCAATCACTGACTGCAGTGACTATCAACAATCTTATTTATATTTATATTTGCAAAAAAGTTTTTCCTAAAAAATAAAAGTCTAAAATTTGAAAACTTATTTAAATATTATTCACTTCACATTAATTAATATGAAATTTGTGTGATCAAAAATGAGTCATTAACTATTTGATTGTTCATTTGATGAGAGTAACTACTGGATACAACTTCAGCACTAATATCAAATCGGTGGATGAATGTGCAGCTTTCTGTTACAATCGAAAATTCTGCCATACCGCAGTATACAACTATTTTGCCTCGACATGCTCGATAAGCTATGATCGAGCAGTAAATTGCCAGTGAGTAGCTAGTCCTTTGTGACTGAATTATTACAACTTTTGAATGCATTTTATTTTATTTTACTTTGTATTTGTAACAAATTGTCACTGAAATGACCTGACTCGTGTACTGACTTCTATTTCTTTGTTGATTTCTGTTCACAGACGCATAAATTTATTATTACTCTAAATTGTTTAAGCAAAAACTGGATTTCCTTTGACTTTAACAAGATATTCAAAAAGCTTCTGTGATCTCTTGCACACAAACTTATAATTTATTAATTTCTGTAATCGATTTCTGTCTACTAAGTATAGGCGTATTCGGTTTTACTGAATCTTTTTGATCATATTTTGAAAATTGTTTCAAGTTATTTTTCACCAAAGACGCTGAAAAAACATTTCAAGAGAAATCATCAGATATGTATTTCAGACTTATCCCGGTCCGCTGTTCAAAGTTCTATTCTTCAGCGCGAAAGTTAGTGCGAATAACTTGTATTGAGGGTAATGTGGTCAATACCGATATTAGTACGTTTCTGAAAATTATTTTTATTAGTTAAAAAAAAATTCTTATCCCTCAAAAGTTTTACCAATTATGTCACCTTTTTATGAAATGATACAAAAAAATTTGAAGCTTTCTTTTTAACAATTCTAAAATTTCTCCTTCACAACTGCTTTTTGAACCTAAAGCATCAAATATTCAATAAATTATCTATGCTGATTTTCAGAAATAGAAGTATCTTTGAATTGAAAATCTCAATTGTTTTGAAGAATTAAAAGAAACTTGATTCTAAATTGGCATTTTCATATTTTAACCGAAATTGCGATGAAACATTAATGCTTCCAATTTACTGCCTGAAAAACTTTTATTCATTCATCTCCTTCTGAATAATAATTATTTTACCTGCGCCTTGGCTAAAAAATATCAAAACTCCACAATACCTTGGAAAATGTGAATAGCTAATAAAAATATTAAAGTTTCTTTTCACTACTTTTGAGCAAGCAAGCATTTTTAAATCACAATGTTTTGCATTCTGTAATCTTTATTTTATCAAATACCAAATATTTTAAAAGATGGTAGGAATTTTTAAATACTTTTTAAAAATGTTAATCAAAAATGCAGCTTTTTTTCCCAAAATTCTACATCTACTGCAAAAAACCAGCTTGAACTTTTGATATAAAAAAAAATTACACTTCCAAGCAATAATTTAGCTCAGTCACACTTGAAATGCTAATCTTTGACTAATTTGGGGAAAACTTCAATTAAAGTAAAATTTTTCATATTTCTATCATTGCACTAAAATCTTATTCCCACTGTTTAATGAAAAATTATTGTTATTATTGAAAAATAATTGAAAAACTTTTTGAACTGTTATTTCTTTATATTTTGAAAAGCTAATTGGTAAATTACAAGTATTACGGATAATTCAATTAATAGAATGACTAAAACTTGATGTCTTTTATAAATTTAACTTTGTAAACAATTTTCTGCAAATGAAAAACTTTATATAAGTAAACATATTTAATAGATTTTCTTCGAATACCAATCAACATCTATTCTATCTATAAACCAATGTAGATGTATTTTTCATCTTCACATATAATGTATGATAATAATATTTTTGCTCTTCTTACTATTCAAAAGTACTACATGTTGGAACTTTTTTCATTAAATTTGATTTTTTTCAGTAAAAGTTAATTCTCAATTAAAATTTTTTCTCCAAATGCATTGCAATTTTAATTTCGTGAGATGAATTTGGCAGTGAAACTATTGTAAAAAGCCATAGATGCTTCTAAGGTTTCAAATATGTCTTAGAAAATTTGATAAAAATATGTAAGCAGCTCTTCAAACTCAATTTTTACAGAGGGAGTTTGTGGATTGCAAGGCAATATGCAAACAAAGTCCGGATTAGAAATTGTCTATGATAATCCGATATTACTGCATGGTTATTATTGTTCTAATGCTTCTGCTATTTTAATCATTTACTGATTCATAACTAAGTATATTTTTAGATGCGATTTCTATGTTCTCGAAAGCAGAACTTTTTTATTTTTTTCATTTTTTCTTTCCATGCCAAATATTTATTAATTTTATGCTTTGCTTTCGCTATTTTTATTAAACTGTATTGCTAAATATGATACAGATATAATTTTTAAATTTACAAATACGAATTTTCTAAAATTATCATTCTGCTTGTCACTTCTCTTGTAAAAAAATAAGCTAAAGTAATACCGAAACTTATTTTTAATTTTATCAAGTATTTATTAGTTTTGTACACTTTTGTCTTCGAAATACTTATGAAAAAATTAATACTTTTCTTAGCTCTGAAATACAAAATTCAATAATTAAAACAAATCCCATGCATGGACCTATATAATTTAACAAAGTTAGAGAGAATTTAGTCTGAAATTTATAACAATTTAAAAATGTTAATTTTTTTGAAGGAGAGGTGCTCACACTCTGTTTTAGAAATATTTGATTGAAAAATCAAACTATTAGTAAGGTCAGAGATGGACATGTTATTAACGAGTAATCTCTTCCGAGCTGTAATATTCAAAAGTTCACAAACAAGTTGAATTAATTAACCGTACGGATTGCCTATATAGTGCTTTTAGCGTATTCAAATTAATGCAAGAGAAAATTCCTAAAATCGCTGTTAGAAAATAAAAGTTAATAAAGATTACAGTCTTTATTATTATAATCATTTTTACTGCCATTATCCTTTTTCTTCATTTTGATTTCAGTTTTTCGGTCTTAATTTTCAGCTTTCAGTTGTTATTCTTAAAATCTTATTTACAAGTCCTTACTGCTAAGCAATCATCAATGATTCTTGCTTTATTTATCTTTGTTTTAGTTTTTTTGAGATTAACTTGAAGCATAATTTTAGACTTTATTAGAAAATGAGAATTACATAATGTTAGGCTGAAATGACGCATAACTTCAGGCTTCAAATAATTAAAATGCCACGAAAAATTGTATAAATCAGTTTCTCATTGCAGAGAAAAATTAAAAAATTTTGTACTCAAATTCTATCTGAAGCAAATTAGTATTTTTATTTTATTTTAGCTTTTTTGAGTAAAAGAATAATTGACAAAATTTTCTTACTACTTTAACCTTCTGAGATCTAATAATAATACTTTGAAGTGAACAACTTTTAACTGCGCATTTTTAAATTTTATCTGAAATTTTTTTTTGCTCGAAAAATGTCAAAATGTTTGAGATTCAAAACATTTTTTCTCTTATTTTAAGGCATAAAATGGCGCTTTTTTGAAAATTCAATCTGACCTATAAAATTTTAATTTGTTCTCAATTTGTTGCAATTTTATCAGATAGAGATTAGCTTTGTCTAAAAGATTTTCTTGTTGAAATGTGTTCGATTAAAACTATTCTTTAATATTTGAAAATTGAAAGTGGCAAAAATTTAAAGTTGTCAGTTGTAAAATATGTTATTATTCTGAAAATACTGGCTGAGGTTCAGATGTCAATTTTCAGCACCAAATGAACAAACGATCACAACGACAAATTCTCAAGAAAATAGCAATGAATTAAATGCTATACGGACAACAATTGCAGCAAAGTCAACGACACTAATAAGTAATATCTGTGTTAATGTCTATGCAACTACTCCTCAAACAATTACAGAAACTACAGTCGATTTACGGCCAACTGTACCGCCAATTTACGGTGGCATTAAAAACACAAATGTTACACTTACAATTGAGCCTGCTGCTGCAAATTGTGGTACTGTTGCAACAACGAGTTCTCCTAATCCAGAAACTATCAAATTATCAAATCGAACAATTTCAGAATTAATCAAAAATGAAACTTTATCAGAATTTTTATCAAGCAATATATTTAAACCTGGTCTTCAGCACTTCAATAATGTTACAATTCAAATAATCAATTCAAATAATTCTTCGAAGTGTTTTTCTGATGGTATCAATCGTATTATGGAAGAAATAGCATTGCAAATACGGAAAAACCCTGGTAAATATAAAGTATCTGTGGAAGAAACATATGATCGACAAACCAATATTTTAGTTCAAATTGAAGATGGAGCAAATATACAACGCGTGATACATAATGATGTAACTGAGAAGGATTCAGAGAAAAGTTGGAATTCTATAACGAAACATGATTCCTCGAAAAATGTTGAACCAACATATCATGTACTTCGCATCAGAATTCCCTATAAATTTTTGGATAATAACTCATTTGACGTATTAAGTGAAGCTCGTGAGCTCAGTCCACCTAAACTTTCAGTAGCAGAGCTTGGCAGAGAAGATCAACGAGGCAATAATTTGGGGAAATCAAATTCTTTTATCGATACTGAACTCTCTAAAGAATATGGCTTTCAGAAGTTACCCGAAAAATATATTAACAGAGAAAACGGGTACTTATATCGTGTGCAACTTGAAGACATTAACGAAAATTTGCGCAATCAGAGTGAAGAACATGAAATACGACGGAAGGAAAACAAGAAGGAAATTGATGCTCGGCCCGGAAATAGGAATGAAAGTAATTTAATTAATGTTTTCATATTATTTTTTCAGGTATTTTTGTGCAAATCCTAAAAGTTGTTTTAATTAATTCCTTGTGCTAAACTCTAAAAAACTTCAAAATTTTTTCTTTTCGAACGAAAAAAACAAAATTTTTAAATTCATTTTTAAACACATTCAGTTTTGCAGAGATGGAATTGACTTGTTTTGGTATGATTGATCGGCAGTTATTATATAAAGCAGCTTATAAAATATATTATAACGTATCCTTAGAACAGTGCAGGTAAGTGATTTAGTCACAGTTCACATCTTATGAAAATAGAATATTTTATATGTACTTAGATGACAAATATAAAGCAAAGGAATGTGTTGGCGTAGAAATAGCACCTTGATTAGGTACTTTAAATCCATTTTCCAGCTATTTTGTTCTTTTTTGGTACTCAGTGAGCAAATTGGTTTTTTTTAAACCTTAAAAATTTAATTTCGCTTTTAGTATTAGTGTTGAGAAAATGACGTAATGAATCTGAAATATGAGGTATGGAAAAAGCAACAGATACATTTTCAGCATTTGTTAAATATGTTGACGTAGTAAAATTTTATGGAATATTAAAAATTATAACACATTAAAATACACAAGTCGAGCATATAAATAGTTAGGCTTCATGCTATATGACTTATGAAGTTGTTGTCAACATGTCAAATTGATTATTAATTTTTATAAACAACAGTTCAACTTGTAGATGTGCTTGTGCTAAGACATGGAAGGATGAAACTAATTGTACGGTGAGATGCAAAAGTTTTCAATACAGTAACAGCAGACAGAACTGTATTCTGAACAGTGCTGATCATACTGGAGACTTTGACCTTATCTACACCTGGAATAATGATTATTATTACAGAACATGTGACAAAGAAGGTATGTTTATATGCTTGCGATTGTGGAAATCGTGGAAATTATGTTGTTTACTAATATTTTTAAATATTAATTATAATATAATATTAGTATATTAATATTTTTTGATGTTAGTTACGATGTTTTTCATCTTTTAGAATATTTTTTCACGGGTTTTACTGCAAATTTTCATATATCCGAATAAAAATTTAATAGTTTACTGATAATTATTTAAGATTCTTCTTCACACCTCTTTCATTACCATTAATACTAATAAATGATAGCTTGCATGGAACAAAGAAAATAGTCTTCATTTTTGATAAAACCAAATTTCTAAGCTTTATTGTCCACCTCTCTTCGTTACGATCTACAAAAAATGTTGAAGAAGTATATATATATATCTAATCTTCTATTGAAGACCTGTGATTAAAATTAAATTTTTATTTTCAGATCTTGTTAATAGAATAGCAAGCAGTTGTCAAGTTGATGGTATTGCTCCAGTCAGTGCATTAGAATTTGGATCAGAAAACGAAGAATGGAATCGAATTATTAACGAAGAGATTCAGAAGGATCACACAACAAAAAAGAGATCAACAACTGATAATCCTTCAACTTCGTCTATAGTACTTAATGATACAAATTTCTTACATTGGTGGCAAAATACGCGTCCAGCAGAAATGTCTAAAAAAGCTTATGCTAGCATAGAAGATGAATTATTCACATCAGGTCCTTTGAGGAAAAAAAGCTGGGATCAAAAAGTTGCTAAAATAATGCAAAATTTTTCAAACAATAAATTTGATAAAAGTAAAAATGCGAAAATATTTAATACTGCAAGTGAAACAAATAGAAGCTTGCTACCAATATATTCAAGTCGAGAAATACGATCTACAAAAAATGTTGAAGAAGTTTACGATATTCGCACTTCTTCAACGAAAGCCTATCAAAAAAGTATGGCAGATAGAAATTTAAGAATAATAATGCCATTAACCAAGACTTCAGAGAAAATTGTTATCAAGCAAAAAAAATCAACAGATTGTGATTTTGACTCAGATGCTAAAACTGATCATATCAAGTATACAGAGCCAGCATCTACGGAAACAACTTCAGGTAAAATGCTTTTTGAAATCAAGGAAAAAATACTTTCATTGTAGAATTCTCCTTAATAGAACTTATTTTATACTTTTTCCAAGATTATATAACAGATTTTGCTTAACAATCCATGTATGCAACGTTATAATTTTTATCGATGCACATCGCTAAATTGATTTTTTTCAAACATTTATCAATAATTCTTGCATGAGTTATGCAGCACTGTGATTTGATGCATGATTACTTCTATATACATTGATATACATGACTGTTATTATTAGATATTTTCTGAAAAAACCTTGAAAATGGGTTTTATATCCTTTTATATCAATTCGATTGATGTAAAATATGGCTTAAGAATTAATTAATTAGTCAACTCTAATAATTGTTCTTTTACATTGAATTCTATGAAGAATTAGAAGAAGACGACGAAGAAGATGACAGTTATGATTGTGACTTTAGCAATCATACTCAGTTGAATAGCGGAAGCAAAGAAGAAGAATCAAATGAATTATTAAATGAAAGGAAAGACTATGGTCAAGAATCGACAACTGATAACTTTGAAATTCCGGAAGCTGAAGAATATGAGAATTATGAAAATTCTGGTGCGTTATTAATCCCATATTAAGATAATACTAACTGCATTTCAAGAATAGCTTACTTGTAAGCATATCAAATTAATCTGACAGAATGCAACTTTCATTCGAGTTTGAACTTACTTTCAATATTTGTCATTTTAAAAGGGAAAAATGCTTTCAATACCAACTAAATCTCTACCAAACTTTGACTTTATATTATTTTGATATATACCAAACTTTGACTTTTATTATATTATCTTCGTCGTCTTCTTATCAAGATAATATAAAGTCAAAGTTTGGTAAAGACTTTAGTTGGTAAAAATTGATGAAAAAATTATAAAATATTTAACGCAAATTTTTTCTTGCAGATAAAATCGAAAATGAAAACGAATCCTCTCAAAATTGTTTTAAAGTGCGTCCATTCATTCATTTAATTTTATGATCAAAAACGAAATCATAATATTCACAGTATTAATATCATCAATAGTGCCGAATCAGTAATAATTTAATGATAACAGTACTAGCGATATAATAAGAGTAATAATAATATCAGTTTTATACTTTATAAAATAACACAAATTATTATTGTTTTATAAATGCAAAGAAATATCAGTTCAAATAAATTATAAGAAGCAAAACTATTGATTTTTAAAAATAAAAAATCCTTAAAATGTAAAGGTTTAGCGAAAACTTGCATGGATTTGTATTACATTTGCTATATTAATTATGTGCTTAAGAAACATTTATGTTATAAAACTGGAACAAGCAAATACTCTGTAATTTTATGTTTCTTTGAAATAGAGAGGTAGTCATCATTAATAAACGTTACTTGGGAGTTAAATTTATCAAAATTTTGGGTTATTGATGGATACGTGTTGAAAGGCACAGCTGGAGGACTTGAACAAGATGTCACGTTGGAAGAATGCAAATGTCATTGCGTAAATAGCCGGTTATATTTCACTTCATAATTTTTTTTAGAAAGTTACTAGATACTGAGAAAATAATTGCCGCTTCAGGTTAATCTAAAAAAGTATCGAGTAGTAAAAAAGTCACCATCAAATTATTTAAAAAGATAGTTTGCTTCATTTTTGACATACCAGTTATACGGAAAAATTGTTGTATCATTTTTGTATGAATGTTCTTTTGCAATATTTTATATCAAAAATACTCCGATTAATATTATTATTATTATTATTTATTATACTAAACGTCATTCTAGCTATTCATATGAACTGAACTATAAAGTCAAGTATTTACAAGTTTCAAATTGCTACGACAGAACAAAATAATTTTAATAACTTATAGCAAAGACACTTTTGAAAAATGTGGACATTTTTAATGGTGAAAAGCATTTAAAATATTGTTGGCTGAATAAGTGCTAAAGTTTTCGTTTAATACGTGAAAATTTTATAATTTGTTAATGAAATCTGCGTTTGATAGTTCTTGCGTCTTGAGTTTTGATGCGCAAGAAATTAAAATTTTTTTTTTGAATAAAGTGTTTTAAGATTTCTTACATATATATTGCATATATAAATTATTTCTTCTATTTTGAGAGCCCTAGAATTAATTAATTTATGTAAGTTACAGAATTAGTGGAAGATATTCGTTTCAATGCATGTCAGCAACGTATTATCACAAGGAACGTGATTGCGTCTTGAATTTACAAACACGGAATGATATTTCTGAAAAATTCCACCAACAGCACAATGTCAGTTATTTGGAAACGATTTGTTCAGTAGGTTAGCAAATATTCAAATTTGTAAGTAAAGACACTGAGAAAAAATAATTTGTGTAAGATGTAATCATACTGAAAACAAAAATTTAGTCAAATAGTTTTAAACTTTTTCCCTCATATCACCTAAATTTGAAAACATGAAATTATGATAAACAACTTGACCATAGTATATATTAGGACGTAATTTGAGCAAATAGAAATTTATGACAGTTAGAACACTAATATTATTGATTATGTTACTGAATCTAAAACAAATTTTAATGGAATAATTCGTAATAAAAATCCAATTAGCTTACAGAAGATGCAAGACAAAGTCTAACTGGTTTTGACAGTTACTGTCATAAGAATACTTTCACTACAATGGCTGTATCGTCGACAATAAAAACTGCAGAAAGTTTTAAGCCAGGTCAGTTATAATCTTATAAAACTTTAAATTGTAATATTATTCAGTACTTCTGAGTTTCATCATTTCTTCAAATCTTTTTTTGAAGTTCCAGGACAAAATGCTTAATTTTAATTGAAGATTATAGATTTTAAGCTGTATAATGAAATTATTTGAGCTCCAATATACTGAATCAAATGGATTTAAGAAAGCAATTCTTTGTTGTAAATTTTATACTTTCACAATTGAAAATACCTTTGGTTTTTAAGCTTACCTATAAAAATTTATCAATATTATAGTTTAATACTAGTACTTTTTTTGCATTTTTTTCAGCCTGAAAGTGAACAGATTAAAAAAGTATTAATTTTAAGTTAATTTAAATTTGGGTCAACCCAATGAAAATTAACTATGGAAAAATTTTGATTGAGCTAAACTCGCGAATGAAATTACAACTGTTCTTGTAATATGAGTAAACTAAATTACACACTGACTCCATGCAGTCAGGGATTAAACTTTTGGAGATAAAAGTTAAGAAAATTTGAATTAAAAATATAAGAATTTGAGGGAATACGGATGCTTGCTTTTTGGAAATGCCCAATCACGTACTCGAAGGTACAGCATTTGCTGCTGAAACTAATGCATCCTTAAACGAATGTAAATGCTACTGTATGAACTCTGAAAGACAGTACGGTGCTGCATGCTACAGTGTTCAGTATTACTTTAATTCTAGGACCTGTTTACTGAACAATAATAGCAGGCAAGTTAATGTACACTACCACTTGATCTGAAAACAACTTTATTACTGTGTTTGCTGATTGCGGGCAGAGCAGCGTATGTAATCCTTTTTAACCGTATTCAAATGCAATTTCTGCTTTTCTCTTCAAGAGAAAAGAATGTAATTTCCAAATTTCCGCAGTGTTTATAGGAAATGTTGAATAACAAACTGGTCTAATTTAATTATTATTTGTTGTACTGAACACGTAATGAATTCGACAATTACGGTTGCTTGAAATATTTTAATTATTTTTTAACTTTTGGTAGAAAAATATGGTAAATTCAAAATTCTGCAGCGTTTTCGGAAATGCTGCATAACAGGCTGTCAGCAACTTACTGTACATTACTGACACAAACAATGTGCATTCATGTGAAAACTGATTTCAGAGAAGCAGACCCAAACAACTTCAGCTACTTGCCTGCATCAACTTTACTGCACAGCTATTTCGATAGAACTTGTTTTGGGCAAAGTAATGTTTTGATCTCTTTTTTGACATAGTCATTTTTTGAATAAATTGTTTGATCACAGAAATTGATCTTAAATATTTCTTCTGTACATTTTCAGATGAAAATTTTTCCTTTTATGTGGCAGAAAAATGTTCGTCTCTGAACAACAATGACGCAACAGTTCCACAATCAGGAGAATCGATGTTTGCTGAGAGTCAGGCAAGCAGGGTTTTTGCAGCAATTATTTTGTTTTTTAATGCTTGAAAAAATGAAATCCATAACTTTGTTATTTTACTCGCAGTTCTGCCATGAAATTTATTTATTGTTGAACAATTAACAAGGAATTATTGACTATTATCAAACTTTACTCTGACATCGACCCATGCAAAATCGATGAAAATGGCATATCAGAATTTTTTTTAATTGTACGAGCATTTTATTAAAATTATTTTAAACTGAAACTACGCATATTTTAGGCAGAAGCTGATAATAATGAAACTGCAAGTGAAAATAATTTGAGTTTCAAAATGAATGAAAGCAGAACTGAAGATGCGTATTTGCACAACAATTCATCCGACAAACCTTTGCTTCAAGGTCTCGCATCTTTTTTATCTTTTTTATCTTTGTTACATTTGTTTTCGAAAATTCATACTCATGAATTTGAAAAATCTTGACAGATTTCTAAACATAGAAAGTTATCTTGACTGCCTCAAAACTGAATTTCGAAGTCTGTGTTAAATTAATTACCGTGACTGATTGATTTTTTTTAAATTTTACGAGCATTTTATCAATATTATTTTAAACTGAAACTACGCATATTGACTTTTCTACATATTTAATAAAGGGATTTTACAATGAATCTATTTTTGCATGATTTATTAATAAACCCTGAAATCTTTCTTTGTTGAAAATACAAATCTCCATGTATTCTTTTAACGCTTTCTTTTTTGACTAACTATTTTAAGAAAGTGATAAATTGAAATTTACCCTAATTTTAATATATTAAAATAAACCTGCCAATTCGCAAGTGATAGTATTATCATTCCAATAAATTCATTACTTTTTCATACATTTTATGATCCAGGTCAAAGACAGGAAGTCGTTTTCTTACTTGTATAACTTAATAATGTCTGGAACTTGGTAAATACGTTATTATAATACGTATATCAGTATTAGCATTCAAAAAATTTTATCAATTTTATTATGGCCTAAATTCTGAATGAATAATAAATGTAGTATTTGCGACTTCGCCAATTATATGTTAGTACAAAAGTACATAAATATGAACTGAAAAACTGCAAAATGTACCCATATAAACGAGCTTAATTCTTCATTATAAGATAATTATTATTTAAAAGTTGGAGAAGAAAATGAAGAAGAAGAAATCAGCGAATCACATGACGTGTATAAGAGTGCAGTTACAAAGACGTTTGATTCTTCAACTGAATATACAAAAGTTTCGATGGTGACAACCACTGCTGCCATTTCAAATTCAACTTTCAATGAAATGACCTCAGAAAGTTTGTTTCCTTACTTTAGTTGCTAAAATAAGCAATTTATAGCTTGGGTTAACTTTTCACCTGCTCTCTAATTAGCTGAATGGTTATCAATTTACTAGTTCAATCGCTCATTTTGATGTTTCTGTCTTGCTTCTAATTGATTATAAAATATAAATAAGTGCATGGATTAGCGAAGAAATAGAGAAATCAGCGGCTAAAAATGTAAAAAACTCGTTATGCTGCAAAAACAATATTATTGCCACTGATTTTTCCATCTCATTGCTACAGTTCTTTCGTTAGTCCACTATTTTACATGCTTTTGAGGCTTAATTTTGTGCGAAGCTGCAGAGCTGCACTTGCAATTTAACTAAATAATTAGAGTTTATTATAAATCGATAGATAAGAGTAATTTATGCAACATTTTATTCGTATTAAAAATCACTTAAAATTATGAAAGCTGAGAAATGAATCTTGAATTGTTTCTTCTTTGTTACAAACCTTAAAATGTTGCATAAATTGTGATATTACTTACTGAAAATTGCTCTCTAATCTCACTAAAAACTGTAAAAAGATCTATCACAATTATTATTATCTTATTATTCCAGTATGGACTAATTTATTAGTTTTATTAATCACAATAACGAATTTAGATGATGCAGATGCCAGTGAAACAACGATTACAGGTGTTGTTACTGTGACATATCCTGAAATAGGTTACTGTTCATACTCAGCTATATATCAATCAGTTTTCCGTGGAGCAAAACTGATTAAGAGATTTCTCACTTCTAGGTTCGTTTCTTACAACCTTGATTTTTCGTTCTTCTTGGTAAATAATACAGTTAAAAGATAATACTCAAGATCATGATGCTTATGGTAAAGAACAGTTATGTCCTAGCACATAATTAAAAGATTCAACAGTGATAAATCATTCTGTTGCTACTGAATAAAATCAAGCCTTAATATCGCCAATCAGATAAGGATAAATTAAATAATTTAAATTACAGTCCCAAACAGTGTTTTTACGGGTGCTATTTTGAAGGATGTCGTTCAGCAAATCTTATTCAGATTGATAATGAGATAAATTCTTGTGAATTATTCAGGTATATAATCATAATAATTCATCTTAATTTTTTTGAATAATATAAGATAATGATAAATTTTGCTTAATAAAATCCGTAATAACTTATGTAGTTCAAAAAAAGGAAGGAAATCGTTATTATTATTGCACTTCTTGGCAATTTGAAATAATTAATTATACTACTGGTAAATTTTACGACAAAATTATTCTAAAAAGATTATGTTGTGAAAACTATTTCAGCTTGAAAAATATGGGCCAAAACAAGTGTAAAAATTACTAAAATACAGCTTAATTCAAGCACTTTGCAGTGATGCTTTGATCGACTACCGTACAGCGACCGTATTGGAATATGATAGTGGTAGCGTATATTTTGATGGTATAAAATGTAAGAAGAAACGTCATAATCAAAAAGTTCAGGATAGCAATAATAGTAATGATGATGATGATGATGATGATGATGATAATGAGCAAACTATTAGTAATAATACTAATAATGCTAGTAAATAGTACAGCAGTAAATGGCAAAAAATATTTGTATAAATTTTTTCAGTTTTTACTTGTTATCAATTTTCTCAGGAAGAAAAATTAAATGTCTTCATTGTTTTTGTTGTTTTTGTTGCGATATATTTTCATTATTTCTTGCAGTATTATTTATGGCTTTCTGTGAAACTGACACTTTTTTCAAACATTTGGCAATAATTGCAGTATTCATTCAATTTAGACTTGACAGCTACTAAAATATTCATAAATTACTTTATAAAAAATCATTATGAGAAATAAAATTATATTTCAGTGCTCTCATTAATGCTCACCTTGTTTGCACGAAATATTTGTCAAACATTTTACATCGTTAACAAATTGATGTGCATAGTAATCAAATTTTACATTTCAGGATTTTTACATAATAACTAAAAATTGGAATTTCTATGCTCGGTTACTTTTCAAAAGCATACTTATGGTCTTATGATATTTACGTTCATTTTTAGTTGTTCTGTTAAAGGCTATGTTTTGATCTTATTATGATATATCTGAAACAATCCGATTATTTACGGTTATAATAATCGGTGAACTGGTCGGAGTTTATTTAAATTATGAAACTCGTTTTAACTGATATATTAACTAAATTTGGATCACACAAAAACCTGATTTCAAATGACATTCGTTTATAAAAGGAGACTGTAAGGAACTGCAAGGAATCACAGAAATGGGATAATTATTAATCTAACAGTGATTGTATCTAAGTAAATTCAGTACACTTCTATATTTCTCTAAAGAAAAAGCCATATGCTAGTTGCTATATCTTGCTTTGTCAAAATAAAAAAATTCACTTTCAGAAGTTAAAAATGTGTATATTAATCGAGAAATTGGTTGTCTTTACTTGATAGCTTTTTTATTTTGCGCAAAACACATTGCTTTGCAGAGCAGAACAAAGTGATTAGTAATATTTAATTATGTATCTAAAATTTGCTAAGAAATGCAGTACTCAAAGCATCAAAGAAATGAAGCAAAATAATGTGCAAGAAAGCAAAATTATTTCATTTCCGCTCCAAAATCAGCCAAGTCAATTTGTGTGCTTTTGTTTTCTGCTATTGTGTGTTGTTTCAGTGCTGCGCAACAAACAGTTTGCAAAATATATTATCCATTCTGCTTTTTTGTGCGGCTCGCAAATTTTCCGATGTCAGTCGAAATTCTATTTGATTCTGAAGAAAAGTTTTTCGAGAAACTTGTATTTCAAGCAAATAATTTGCTGCTAAATATCATTAAAATTCTGCGAGATACGACTAATGATAAACACGCATAACATTTCGTTAATTGTAGCAACTCTGTTTACCTCACAATGGAAAGAAGTGAGTAAGCAGTGGAAAGTTAATTGAAAAGCTAGAGTAATTTAAAATAGCTAAATTCATTCCATTCTAAGGAAAAGCTGAAATTCCAATTTCCAAACTTTAAAAAAATTAATTTTTCGAAAAGAAATAAAAATAAATGCAATGTTTATTGCATTACTTTTCACTCATTTTCAATCATTAAATTAGACAAAATCGATGAAATTAGTGTTCGCATTTTTGTTTCAGTTCATTTTGTACTTTTCCAAAGACAAAATCAGAGTATTCGCAGCGCAAGTGTGCTGAAGGAACCTTTCTCCTTCACGTCACGCGCTACTACCAACATTTCTTCTTCGCAACTTTCTATTCTCTTTTATATTAAGACATTTGCCGTGATGAAAAATGGACAAAATTTCATCAATAATATATTAAAGATGCAATTTGTTCATGTCACTTATATTTATTCAATAAATTAAATTATCGATGGCATTCATTTTTTCTCAATAACTGCGTAGTAAATTGTATACTTCAAGCATTCTACAGTAATTTTTGATATGAATCCAACATCGATTCTTCACGTATAGTTTTGCGAATAAAAGCAATATTGCTGAATTGAAATTAGTTTGTCTCAATGCATTTGCAACTCATTGAAGCAAACTCATTCTACTTTATTACTTTTCTCTTTTCCTCACTGAGTTATTTCTCAGTTCATTTGATTAAATTTTTTTATAATGCAATAACAGCGTTTAATAGCAAATAATGTAGAAATGCAAATTTTCAATGAAATTAATTATAAACTAAAATTACAAAATTTTAATAATTTGATCAAAATTATCGGTGCATATCAGTTTGCTCATCTTTGAATCAGTTTTGTTGATTAAAAAACTGCACTCAAAAGTCTTTCTATTTAAAAAATATTTTTGTTTTTAGGCTCTGATAATAAGTGTTGTGATGACTGAGAATAATAGCAGTACATGAATAATTATGGGAGATAAAGACTTGGGTGCAAAGAAGTCAAATGGTTTGGGTTCTTATTTCGATTGAAATAATTTGTAATCAGTATCGTGAAAGTTGATAAAAGTAAAGAGAATAAAATATGATGCTGAATTTTTGAAATTCGGAAAAGGACAGAAGTGATTTTTGTTAAAACAATACATATTTTTAATTGATCAGCAGTTACTTTGGAAAATAGCAAAAATTTTGATTAGAGAATTTATATTGAATGTGAAAAATCAGAACCATGCCTAATCACTAATTGCGTTATTTGATCAAAAAATGATGTGTTATTAAAACAATCAGTAGCTTATGTTTTGGTAAGCATACTGATCTGATCATAAACAATACCTGCAAGAGAATTTTAAATTTGATATTTTTGATAATAATTCAAATCCTCGTAGACCATAAATTTTCTTTACCATTCCAAAATTATTATTAGCCTTAATCTCACATCCAACATTTCTCGAAATGATTACTCTTTATGTTTTAGATGAAACGGAAAAATTTGGACAAAAGCAAAGTCCTATAAATATTTCATTGGGCATTACCGATTTCGACAGCAAGCTAAAAGCATCGAAACTAAAATTTGCTTATACAATAGGAGATTTGAAAACAATTGAAGTACATATTCAGATTGTTCAATTTTATGTTCAGAAGTATTGCTAAAATTAGTTCTGCTATGCCTTTAAGATCTTAATTTCTATAAAATACTGCTAAGAATTCAATTGCAGAAGACAAAGAATGGTTTTTCATGCAAGACAGGTGGAGAATGCACTTCAGGTTTGAAAAAGATTTTTTTTCTTTTTGTATTAAATTGAACTTTTGAAAACGAAAACTCATTATGACCACGATAAGGAGAGAAATATCATTTTGCTTAAAATGGACTTTAAGTCTGAGATTCTTAAGTCACAAAAAGATTTTTAAATGCGTGATCGATTTATCAAGCAACTTGCACGCAAAACATATAATTATGCGAAAAATATTTGAACAGATAATTCTGCCTTCTAAATGCGTCCGTCATTTCACAACGATATTTGTAGTTGTTTTACTTTCTAGAATTAAGCGGTTCGCATCTTCCGGGGAGGTACAAACTTTGGGAGGTTCATGGCCATTGGGGGACTGAAAAAAATTCCGGCAGTGAACATTTATTGAATGGCAAAGGTTTTTCTGCTGAGGTTTGCATATTCAACTTTCTTTCAGACTTGAAACAATAAATTAGCATGTATGATTTCAATTTCAATAATTTCAGTAATTAGGCTAAAGTTCAAAAGTCAAACATCGCATATGGTAATGAAAGTTTATTCACTAAATTTTATAATATTATAGTTTTAATATCTAATTTTCAGCTTCATTTTGTTTTTCGCAAGATGAAATATGGCAAATTTGATAACTGCTTCGACAAACGAGATGGCTTGACTGTTTTGGCTCTTTTTATGGAAGTTAGTTGATAATGTGCAAATTTCATGACTAAATTTTTTGGAATAGTCTTAAACCGATTCCTAGTAGTTTCAATCTCACTACCGTTCTCAGTGCAGTGCCATTTTCAAATATCCGTTGAAAACCTAATTCTTGTTATATTAAGTTTCAGTTTTTGAGCAACAACTAGAGCAGCATTTTCTGTGCAGTTTTTACTAGACAAAATATTTGCATGCATTTGTTAAAAAATATAATTAATTGCTTACTTTTGTTTGAGATGGCACAGAATATGTCAAACTGCATAAAATCGAAGATCTTAACGTAATTACAGATATTCATTATAGATGCATGTTTGTATGTTCTGTCCATTGGTTTAATACTAGTTTCGTTAGACCAAGCTGAGATTTATTTTTGCTGATATTTGCTTATTTCAAGGAGGATTCAAATGACAATACAGATTTTTCGCCAGTTATTAGTGGCTTGCGTAAATTAGTTAAAAATTCAAATCATGCTGATCTGGACAAAGAATTTGATCTACAAAATTTACTGCCCAGTAAGTTTACAAAATATGAAATTTGAAATTGATTTTCTTATTTTGGTAATAGGAGAAAATAATACCAAAAATATATAAAACTGATGAAAACTTTAAAATACCAATTGGAAATAATCATTATAGTTTTATAGAACAATGATCGACTTTTTAAGTATGTGATCTAATCTTTCTGTTTGAAAAGAAATATTTATCAAAAGTCGGTCAAGCTTTCTCATTTTAACGAACCTCTAGGATAGTACCAGTTTTGAAAAGTTGCTGTGTTCATGTTTGCCACGTCAAATCTTTTCCAAATTTATCTGATGAAACATTTCCTATTAAAAAAAATCTCTTCGTTTTGAAGAATATATTTGATCAGATTTAAAGATTAAGCTCTCACACACGACATCTGACATACCAGAAAAAAAACGATAAATAAGAATTGTTCAACACAAAATGATTGCATTAAAGTCCAAAATTATCTTTGCTAAATTAAAACTGAGTTTCATTTCGTAAGTAAAATAAAGATTTTGTTCAGAAAAGTTGTCGTATTATTCATATGAAGGATCACTTACCAGCAAACCATTTGCGGAATGCGTCATTTGGACAATACTCAAACATCGAATTACAATAGGCACTGATCAGGTAGATTATATGAATTCAATACTTCAATGGTTCAATTGAAATTTAACTTAATTTTTCAAATTTTGGACAAAAACACAATTCGCAGTTCACTAATTTTAACAGCAATCACTTACTAAAAATTGATATTCTAACCAAAGTTAGTTAAAAAATAATTTTTGTATTTTTCTAAAATAAAAAGTAATTTGCAGGACAGACAATTTCATTCATATTCATTTCAGTAAATAATCGAAAAAAAGAGACCGAAAAATCACATTTAGTGCTGTAATTCGTCTAACTTTGATAAGAAATAACTTTTTAATAAATTTTGCAATCGGAATAGCGCGATTTTTCAACTCATACAGTTAACTTTCAAATTTATACTGCAGTTGGCATTTTTACGAGAAATTATCCCCAACAATTGCCGATCTCTGCAGCCATTAAACAAACGCCGAGTAAAGCGCTCATTCAAACTTGTTAAGAAGTCGTCGTCTAAGGATAATAATTGAATTCATTTATTTATTTAGTTTTTATTTGAATAATAATTCCAAGTTATTGTAAGCTCTATTTAATAAAATCTTTTCAAGTTTTTCTAAATGAATTGCATTGTTTTTCATTTTATTAATAGCAAATAAGCCTTCAATTTCTGTCTAATGCAGTAGATACTAAAACATTTGAATATTGAAAATTCAAAAATTACTACTTTTTAAAGCTTTTGTAGTTATTCATAAATGAATTAAAAAAAATGATTGATCAACGCTAGCTATTGAAAGCTGAATCTGAGACATTTGGTGAATTCACGCTGAATTGTGAGTAATCAGTAATTTTGAATAAAGAATGATTTAGTTTTTCTACTTCGATGACAGAATGGACTCTAAAATTAATTCCTTGCACATTACACATCAAGATTGACTTTGCAAAGAATGCATGGAAAGACAGACATACTTTAAATCAAGAAATATCTATTCTTTAATTTTTGACCAATATTTGTGAAGAGTAACATAATTTGTTCTAATATGAATTTGTGTTGATGTAGACTGCCGTGCTTAAGATAAGCTATGTTATGCATGGAATGTGATTGGAATAAGAAAATCTGAAAATGTTAGTGAAAAACACATTAATTTCTAGTCTGACGTGAAGTTTGTGTTGGATTCATTATGCATCCTTGAAACATATTGACTGTATAGAAGTTATTACAAGGTATACTTTGTGAGCAGGTTTTTCTAATTACTTTTGATTCCCTGATGTTCAAATCTAAATGTTTTCTTTAAAATAACCATTAGTACAGAAAGGGTACTTTACAAATAAAAAAATTAAAATTTTTGATTCATTTTTTCAATGTTGTATGAATGGATTGATTTTGAAGTCTGAGTGCAGAAAACCAAGCATAAATGAGTCAATATAGATTCCGTAATGGAAGGGAACATTTCTGAATTATCGCTTAGGTAAAAATACTCCTAAGAAAAATACAGGCTTGAGAATTTAATTTCTAAATGGTATAATAATTCCTGTAATCCATCCTTTTTAATTGCGAAGCCGAATTTTCTTTTCCGCTAACATCAAATCGTTTTGCAAATTTTTGACTCCAGAACACAACAATGAGATATTTAGATATTACTGGTTTTGCTTATGATGCGTGGATGCTTAAAACTGGACTCATTTATTATAATTTTTTTCAAAAAATATTTGGATTTCAAACACGAAAAATCCTACCAATTTATTATATTGTGCAAAATTAAGAATCGAAATGAAATGATGTGAAGGTGCTTGACTTGACTTGAGATTAGTAGTAAATAGTATTGATGAATTCTTGAACTGCTCAATTTTTTACTGACTACTATTTTTTCTAGCCATCACATTGACTGTAGTGATTGCGAAAGAAAAAACATTGAAAATCACATAAAAATATTTTTTAAACAGTTCGAAGTATTACTCAAATTGAGTTTATATGTGTACATTCCCATAACTCTACACATTTTGACAGCTTCATTTTGAGTTATTCACCGAAACGAAATAAGTATAAATAACTGCGACTCACTTTCATATTGTTGACGTAATTATTCTGACGAATTTCAATAAGAAAAACAACGCAGTCATAGATTTATAGATGTTTTCGAATGTCTTTTGAGTTTGTTTTCAGTGCTCACAAAAGTGTCTTGGTGCAAAACTGTTTAATTTATAGATGGCAAGCTGTAACGCTGGAGTTGCTGATAAGAAGGAATAATCCGTAGTTTATTGAAGACCATATCCACGATTAAAAGTAACAAAATTTAAAAAAATGGCGCACATTTTCAGAAATCTTAAAAAATTTATCATATTCACTGAGAGAAAAAGTTAAGTAAGATCCACTTATTCAACTTTTAAGACATCTTCCTTCATCGGTTGCAGATTTAACTCATGTTCTAATTAACTTACTGGAAAGTTTGGAGAAAAATTTTAGCCAAATTGCATACAATAAAGAGACATTAAATTTTTTATTCGTTTTGTAATACAAGGAAAAATGAAAACATAAAAAAGTCATTTTTTTTAATTTTTGCAATATAAATGGGGACGAAAGTAGTAGGCAGTGTTTTCAAGCACATTGTTTTTCCATATCATTTTGATGCAATCTTTCCATATTTCATTGATGGACGAAGAATCTAGATGAAATTAATAAATTTACACTGTCGTGTAGTGAGAAGTAGAAATACATTAGAAATTTTCAACATTGTTCTACTTTTGTAATGCATTTTTATCTACAGTCTAATTTTAATGAAGAAAGATTACTTAAAAGTGTTCTAACTGTCAACTCACACGCATTTATTTCACAGCAAAAAAAGAACCTGAAATGTGCAAACAAGTGATTCATCGACGTTCATCATAGCTGCCGCGTTATCAAACTGACCGCAGTAGTGTGGTGCCGAGAATATCGTTACTAATTTGCGATTTGCAAAAAATTCGTAACCATCCTATAAGATAGATTTAAAAAAATCAAACTCAGTGCTAATATTTGCAACATAATACCAAGAAGCATTAATAGAATTGAAACCCCAAATCATACAAGAAATTTCGCAAGTTTTTTCGCTATGCAAAGGTTTGCATAATCTAAAAAATACTGAAGTCTTGATGAAAGTTACCTGGACAACTTGATGAGCGCGAGCGATCAAATCAATATCCAATTTCTGACACATATCCATCACAACATCCGGGCCAAATGTATACGATAATCCACGATTATTTGCTTGCCAACCTTTAACAAGTGGATCAGGATCTGACCTAAACTTGAAACACATACAGAAAGGACATAGATGATAAACGAATTTTCAAGAAGAATTTGCTCAAGAATTTTTTGCGATTACAAAAAGCTTTTTGGGAAAACTCGTAGTAATGATAGTCGTCCAAGTTTGGGAAATTTTATTTGCTTTCAAGTTTAAACATTGTTGAGATTTGATTTCCTGCAATCAAAATGCACACCATAATAAGTCAATATGAACTGATGGGTTGGGTGGATCAATAGGTCGAGTGATCTGCCGTAGCTGATCGATACTTTTCAGCTGCGGTGATAAGCCACCGTGCATGCATAAAATTTTTCCCGCAACAAGGCCCGAAAATGGCATTGTATTGAACACTTCCTAAAATTTTACAGCAATTTTCTACGAAATGTGCAATATTTCATCTTCTTTGAAACATTTGAACCCTTGCACAGTAAATTATTCGTGTTACTAATCAAAACTTTTTGGTAAGTCAGTCATATTTCTCCATAAATATAAGAGTGCAGTGATCAAAAAAGTGCTTAGTGTTGTTGAATCTTAATTAAAGACTAACTGAGATATAGTGTATTTTTTAATTCGTATAGCTGAAAACTTGGTTTTTCAAACCTGAAACGTTTGCCACAAACGGACACTTTGATAACGGCGATTGCATTCCTCGAAGAATCCATATACCCGATTGATAACACTGCATTCATGATTGCCGCGTAAAAGAAAAAAGTTCTCCGAATACTTTACCTTAAAAGTGTAAGTGATAAACATGAAAACAAATAGTAAAAACACAAATGATGGATGAAATATAACTTGCACAATAAAATTTTCATACTTTGATGGAAATGGAAGCGTTTATTAATTTTTTAATATGAATAATCAGTCCTCATTTGATTAACCTTTTGATAATTAAGTAAATATTTCTCAAGATTTTAATCTCATTGATAATTTAATACTTTGTAGCAAAGAAGAAGTGATATAGTTTCGAGGTTCTGTCTTCCGCGGTCTACATAATCACCAAGAAACAGATAATTGACAAATGGTGGAAATCCGCCTCGATCGAACAATCGAAGTAGATCTATAATTTGCTTTGAATTTCAATTCCTAGTTAAATTTTTGAGAAAACTGGAAATAAATCACTAATATCTTAATAATATGTTATTGAACAACGATTGCTTATTATTTAAATATGAGTAGAAAGCAATTGTGCAGCAGACGGAAACTGGAAAGTCGGTCAAATCAGCTTCAAATTCAGATTTCTGATTGTATTTAAGGCGGTATGACTTTACGACATATCACATTCTCACACATCATATTAGACGGTATGGAGGCACTTATGTGGTATGACATCATATATCAATGGGTCAATAATTAGCTCCAAAATTAGTACCTGTTCGCTACAAAACTAAGGTTTTTTTTGTTCAATTTTGTCAATAAAATAATTTCACCTGCATATTGACCATGGGTATCTCCACAAATCCGAATTGGTGGATCTACTTCGATTAGTGAGTTCTGCGACAAGAATACCTCTTTAGCTAAGCTGCACAAGTGTATAATTTCTTGTTCCTTCACTGTCTTTGTCAAGCTACATCCGGGACTACCAACATTTAAAAGTTTACAAATTAACTCGTCCAAATCCAGTTTCTGAGCCATCACTGAAAAGTTTCTTGCCTCTTATATTGTATACTTGTTGACTTTTGTTCTGCCCAAACTCCAATTTAATATTTATAGAAATTCATTTCAATATTATAAGAATATTTTAAAAATTTGATGTTTGATTTGTGCGAGTCTTACATCTTTAAAAATCACTACTTTTCAACTCTGACATCAAAGTAAGGTGGAGGTTTTTATCATTTCTATTGATTGCTGTGCTGGGGCCAATAATTAGCAAAAGTCCAAATCTCTCATTACTGTCAGAATGCCCAGCTCAGGTAAAAGTGATAACGTTGAAAAGAGCATAGGATTTAATATAGGCCATATGAAATCTGCAACATTGGAAAATGCCCGTGCTTCTTGGCACAATAAAACTGGGACGAACCTCTCGACGCAAGCTCACCATGCGAAGACTTATAACGACATGACTTCTAATTCGAACATGCATGCATTTTATTGGTTCCAAGCATGCAAATTTTACCAAAAGACATCAAATTATGCATACTAAAATAATGAAATATCTCACAAAATTTTCATATTTCAAACTATAAGTATGAATCACCTAAAATGATGCCTTAAGAAAATTTGTAGCAAATTTTTAAGAAAGTGAACTATGAAATAATGAAGTACTTTCATATGCTGGCGAAACCAAACAAAAATATTTAAAAAAAGCAATGATAACAGGAAAAGTATTAACGACAATATAAACAACATGACACCAAGCATCTTAATAAATATAACAATCATAACAAATGTAAGACACTGATAACAAATACAGTAGTAATAACACCTAAATAATAACAATAATAACAAATATGATGGCATTAGTAACACATGACTGTTAATGTTAAGAAATATAAACAATTATTTAGTACCAAACAACTGTGCGGTACAACTCAAAATGATTAATAACGTTATAAACTATATACTACTGAAAATTATGTGAACAATGACTTCAAATTACATTCTTTGTAATTTACAAATAATGTAATTTTAATTTACTGTAAGTGAGGCTGTTTTTAAATATCTTGTTGAACTAACGCCTGATCTAAGCATTCAAAAAATAAATACATGGACTGTGAAATTTCAGATTGCATACTTGGAATTTTAGTCTCAAAATGATTATTATACAAACCCTCTAAATCTTGTAGAGAGCCCAACCTTCGACTGTC